AAACCCCTAAACCCCTGAACCCTCGACCCCCTAAGAATCTCTGAGCCAAGAGCTCGCTCTGCAGCGTGCAGCTGGAAGGCAAGGTCTTCCAGCTCACTGGCGCCTGTGGGGTGTTAGATAGGGCTTCCCAAACCCTAAAACCCTAAACCCTAAAACCTTAAAACACTAAAACCCTAAAGCCGAACCCACAATATGGGGGCTTCCGACAATAGGGGACCCGAATATAGGACCCTAAATAGTAGGATCCTTATTTTAAGGACCCCCAAGAGGTACCCCTAATTTTCGGAAACTCCCAGATAGGGTTTAGGGTTTACCTCAACGCCAAAAAAACCTACCTGTTCGGGAAATGATGATAAGGATCCCTAAGCGCAAGCGGAAAGGTTCTGAGGGTTTACAAGGCTAAAGTTCAAGGCTAGGGTTTTGGATTATGGGTTTGAAGTTTGGCGGTTTGAAGGTCTACGGGCCGTGGTTTCACGGTTCAGTGGGTTCTGGGTTTGTCTTCAGGTTAACTGATGTGTATATGTATATACAAAGTGCGAGACTGTGTATGTGTATGTATATATATATATATATATGTGTGTATACATGTGCGGGTGTATTTTACATACATACATACATACATACATACATACATGCTTGCATGCATGCATACATACATACATACATACATGTACATGTATGTGTGTACATACATGTACAAGCATCACACTGTTCAATATATGTACACATGTTTAAACATTTATTTATAGACATTGTTTTGTACGTGGGTGTGTATGTATGTATTTATGCATGTTGGTATGTATGTATGTATGTATGTATGTATGTATGTATGTATGTATGTATGTGTGTACGTATGTATGCATGTATGCATGTATGCATGTATGCATGTATGCATGTATGCATATATGTATGTCCGTCCGTCCGTCCGTCCGTCCGTCCGTCCGTCTGTCTGTCTGTCTGTCTGTATGTATGGATGTATGTATGTATGTATATATCTACGTGTATTTGCTTGCTTGCTTGCTTGCTTACTTGTGTGACAAATGTACATTAATATTTTCATATATATACACACATATACATACACATATTTCTATATATATATATATACATACGCACATATATCTATATGTATATATATGTATGCATGTATAGATGGAGAGATGCATGTATAAACGTGTGTATATATATATATACATATGTATGTATGCGAACGAAAACAGGTCTATGTCTATGTATATGTATATCTTTTTGAATAGCACACATCTGTGGCCCTAGCTATTTCGATGTACAAACCTAAATCTAAGTCTATATGCATCTGGACCTGTGTGTATGTCGATATCTGTATCTACACCGAAATGGTCGATCTGTGTGTGTATATATATATATATATATATGTGTAATGCATATGTTGTTGTGCATGCGACATGTGCGTGTGTGTGTATATTGTTTAATATATGTGTGTGCTTACCTGCATTGTATAGCAGGAGCTGGTGGCTTTCGCGATTGGTGTGCATCAAACGTCACAACCGACTTTCATCGACTTTCTGTGTCAAGTTTTACTGATAAAGACTTCTTAAGACCCGGACCCTTGCAAAGCAGTGGCTATGGTTCAAGTGGAGTGAGTTTCGGGCTCAGTACACTCTGGACCTAAACTCCTACCCCAACCCCGTAAACCGGGCTAACGACATCTACTGCAACGGGCCCTTGCGCCACAGACGGCTATGTTGTGCGTGAGCAGAACAAATTGATGGAGTTCCCTCTTTTCATTAGGGGTGCAAAACATACTCTTTTCCTCACACGAATGGGCACCGAGGTGTGCCTTAAAATCCCAAGTCTTGCAATATCCCATGGTCCATAGAATAAGACAAGTCTTAGCTCCCAACTTCTTAACGCCCCAACCCCGAAACCGGAAAACTAATTACCCTGATACCCTCCAGACTTCGCCGATGCTCAGCTTTCCTAAACGCTTGTCTAAACTCAAAACCCTAAACCACCTGCATCGCTTTTGGTGCGCCCGAGCCGAAGGCCTGGATGCTCCAGGCGTTCTTTGTTAGGTCTTCCATCTGTTTAGGGCCGCAGGGGTATAAATACCCTAAACCCCAAGCCCCTAAACCCTAAAATAAAAGTTGAGGTTGACACAACTTGCTCCTTTTCCAAACAACGTCCTTGTTCTGCGTACTTCTGGAGGTTCGAAGCAGAATCCTTACCCTAAAGCCCCAAACCCTGACGGCTGAAGAGTACAAGCCAATAAAACCCGAAGCCTGAGCTGAGATCTAAAAACCCTAGGCCAATCTAACACCAAGGCCCCAACCCCTGAACTCCAAAACCCCCTAAACCTAAACCTCTGAAGCTGGTGAGTACTCGTCCATCGCGGTGAACTCGCCGCCGACACGATGCTACGACGGCTGCGGTGCCTGCCTTTTGCTGGACTCCACACTTCCGATACCCTAAACCCTAAAACTGACTTTGCCCTTTGTCTTGCCTTTGCCTTTCCCGGACTTCAGACTTTGCGTGCTCCGCCTAGAACCCTCAGATATCGAAGCTGTAAAGTACACTTATTATAGCGCCCGTAAAAAGCCTCCTAACTTCAATTCTAGAGCCCTTTAACAAACCCTCACAGGGCCCTGAAAGCCCCCCTTTAGGACCCTTTTTATGGCCCTTAGAGAACCCAAATCAACCCTTAAAAACCCTTAAACCAAAAACCCGAATGCCCTAAACCCTAAACCCCAAACCCTAAAACCCGAAACCCTAAAACCTTAAAACACTAAAACCCTAAAGCCGAACCCACAATATGGGGGTTTCCGAAAATAGGGGACCCTATTATAGTACCCTAAATAGTAGGATCCTTATTAAAATGACGCCTAAATAAGGTACCCCTTATTTTCGGAGAAACTCCCATATGGGAGTTTCCGAAAGTTAGGGGTACCTTATTTGGGGGTCCTTATAATAAGGATCCTACTATTTAGGGTACTTTTTTAGGGTCCCCTATTTTCGGAAACCCCAATGTGTTGTCATGGGGAGCTCGGCAGTTCCGCCTACAGTGGTGCCCTGACA